AATAATCACAATGGTCAGCCATTGCTTTTTCATCATTTGTCAATTTTCAATGTTCCAATTTCCTAATCATCACAAGCAGAAGTCATCAAAATAAGAATGAAAAATTCACTGCAGCAGATGAAAATACTGTACACCATGTTGTACATAAATCAACCTGACAATTGTGATTACTGAATGAAACCAATTTGGAGCAATCCAGCCATACAAAAAAATGTATGCAGGAGACATGAGGCTGGCACTCAGCATTTGGATTTGGGAGTGGAACAAAATCCCACAGCTCCATTTGTTTGCACTTCTCACTCCACCCACCTAAATTTAGGGAATGTGTGCACCTCTTTAAGGCATCATGAAGTTTGCCAATAAATTACAGGCCCACACCCCATTTATCCCTTTAAAAAAAACCTTTAGAGAACTGATGCGGCACTTGGGACCATAAAACTGCAAATGATTGAAAATGGAATTGAACAAGCTTTCAGTTGGCATTTTTTCCTTGCCACAGCTCAATTTGCAGTTGAGCAGTTTTAAATAGAAAATTGGTTCACTTTTTTTAGTCCACCCTGTACATGGAGAATATTTTTTTCCAAGTTAGTTACAATTTGGTTCGTCCTTTATTAATCAAATGAAGGCTACTCACCCAGCAACACTGTTGAAGAGGTCTTGCACATGCCCCAATGGCATGGTTGAGACACATTTAGATCCTTCCTGGTGTAGATCGACGTTAGTCCAAATCCCTCCATTCCTCACAAGTTCAAAAAACCGTCGACACACAGGCACGACATTTTCCATCGTTTCCAAGGGACTTAAATATTCGAAAATGCTTTTCAAGACCATCCAAGGCAATGCAAGCAGGGGCGACGTTTGTTCCTCTCTCGCGCAAGGTCCATGGGGCAACAGAAACATGAACCGAGAGAATGCTGCGATGAACACAGAAAATAATTTTTAATTTCACTTCAAATTCCTACACAATTGCTGCACAGTCAAACCTCATTAAAAACGCACCCAACAAGCCTCCGCCCTTGAAAACTGCCAAAAATGGTTGATGAAAAAATCTCCGACAAGTTGAAAATAATAAAAACCTCGATAAGACGCACTTCGCAACATTTTTAATCGAACAAATTCTCTTTGGCATTTGTTTTCTCTGCGATGCCCTGGCAGAAAAAATATTTCCATGTTTCCAACGGACATGGGCTGAAATTTTAAGAAAACCAAATTTCTTGGGAACAGTAGGTATTGCACAATGTCATAAAAATAAGCTTGTAAACCTAACTTTATTTTTTCTAAAAGTACTTCTTCCTTAGGTACTGCTACTGTTGAATTTTTTTTCGTGCAATGGCTTCAAAGATGTAAAAGTTGTAAAATCGTCTCTTAGTATTTAATTGAATAATTTTCAACAACATTGCGCCTTTAAATAATATTATTTTCACTGATTCTCTTTTAAAATATATTGTTGACAAAGATGCAGAAAATCAAGAACAGCAATTTTAAAAGCGTTGTGATCGGGATGGATTCTTCTTCTAAAACAAATTCCCTCGATCAAAAATTATACCGATACATAGGAATGAATAACATTGCTCGTTTTGGCAGATGATATTAAACTATTTAAACATTTTGAGACACTTTCAATAAACGGCCCAAAACCTTCCTGACGGATTTAGCTACCTGGCGTCTTATCGATAGGCTTGACTGTACCAAATGTGCTAATTTACCTGTATGATGACTTCGATTGAAAATTCAAAATTTGAACCTAAAGCGTTCGGTGCTCTTGAAAAGAAGAAGGAGGAATTATTGACATCATTCGGAAAACAATTACTGCTCATAAAAGGAAAAGAGACTGCTGCTGCTGGGGGAGGACCTGTACCGCAGTAAGCTGCTTTAAAAGAAGTCATGCATTTGGAATTTAACATCGAGTAACACATATGCTGATTTTAGATGAGTTTTCCAAGCTTTCTCATAATTTTGACTCTTCCGTGTTTCAAAGTACAGTAGTTGTGAACAAAAGAACTCACGAGTCTGCTGATAAAAACACTCGATGATATCTCCATGCATCAATAGACGAGATTCGCCTTTATCCTCAAAGCTCCGCAAATCTTTGTTAATGCGTACATCCATTTTCAAGCGCTCCAGATTTTTTCTGTTCACCCACAAGGAGAAATTCCCCCACCAAACCGCACGCACACTAAAGATGCGATTGGAATGGGTTACCTTTTGACATACTCGTTGGTCGGGACTCCAATCCGTCCGATTGTGGACATCTTTGCAGAAGAGAGGCCTTTCATGAATAATGGGTGAAAAAGAGAAGCTGAAAAGGTGTACTGTATACTCACGCATGGGGATGCGCGTCATATTAAAACGTTGCCGCGCTCTTCCCAGAACATCGAATAAATCTATTGAAAAAATCGCTTCGATGCCATTCCAATAAGAACGGAAGCTCTGCTTTTGCTTGTCCGAAAAGATTCCCCCCAATTCCATGTAAGAAAGGTCCCGAAAACCATAATCAAGCTTCATCAGAAAAGCATGCATGCTGAAAATACTCAGGAAAATCCGCGGCGAAACCGCGTATTACGATCCGCTGAAGGATTTGTAAGTGTTTCAACGTCAACAAAGTTCTGAAATCGACAGAATGCGTGGCAAATAAGGTTGGGTCAACTTGGCAGATACAAATGAGAGAAAAACCGGTGACACCATTCCGATGGATTATACGCGGGTTGTCTGAAGCCCGCGCAGCTTCCCATCAGGCTCAACTTCAAAGCAGCAGTTGGAAAGTCGCACTTGAACAAATGTATTTTCCATCGCGTTCGTCTTTCCCATCTGGAAATTGAAACATTTCCTGATGTTTGCTTGATTACAGCAAGTCACTGCCATGGGCATAAATTCAAAATAAGCCTCATCATGCAGTAATGAATACACTTCCTTGATTCACATTCCAGAACAATACGCCAGCCGGTGTGGCAAGCAGGGCGAGTGCGCGCCAAATTCCCACGGAGGCCGCCCTGTTTGTTGCAGTGATACGTCCCGTTCGAACACTTGTCCGCGATTTACAGTATGGTCCAACACAAGCTTCGTGAATGCTTGCCCAATTTACTGCGTCACGCCTATAATGCTGTCCATGAATGAGCCCTTTCGTCAGCCACCACCGTCTTCCACAAGCGGATGGGTTCGACCTTCAATACACGATTTGATACCGGCTGCTGACCTGCTGTTAACATATAAGCTTTATTAGGCTGATCATGAAATTCCTTATGGGGAAGATACAGAGTCACTGACAAGACCAGGTCATTTCCAAGAACTGCTTTTCTTCAGTCACAATTTCTCATCATCAAAGACTTTACCTGTGCCCAAAATAGTGCACAGCATTTTCATTCAAGCAAATCAAAAGCAACATTTCAGTATATACAAGTAAGAAATCTATACAAGAAGAAAAAAAAACAATGCAATTCCAGGTACTGTACCGCCATGCCATTTGCATTGCTTCTGCCTTTTGGACGTGCTTCCCATCAATTGCAGGTGATATTGTATATGCATGATTCAGAAGGTTCATGTGGAAAGATTTTGAGAACTAAACATGCATGTTTTGACTCCTAGAATTGAAGATTACAGGGCACAATATTAAATGTATATAGATAGATAGCGTACCTGATGTGTAAGAAAATATTTCATACACCTTGGGAATGAGGAAAACATGGCACCCCTGCTAGAATCTAAATGAGTGCCCATATATGATGGGGTGAACCCCAAATATTGCAACAATGAGGAATATGTGGGAATATGAGATTGTCAGATGGAGTGATGGTTATACTTGATAAGTTAACTTTTCTTGATTTTGAAAGCTCAGGTGTATATAGAAAGTGAGTCTGCGAACGCGGATGTAATTCCTTTAACAGCAAATTAGACCATAATTAGTATTCTGGAGTTGAAGTTGTCATCCTACCCCTGGATATGCTGCTGTTGACTCATGGATGTCTTTGGGATGGGCGATCCCAAAGTATTTCGTCTGAAGTTATTTCTGAAAGTATTTATTTTGATGTACTGTGTAAAATTCTACAACATTTTTCATGAAAAAAAAAATTAGAGTTGTATAGGAAGATAGTGATGAGTCTCGTAGACGAGATGACTTATTTGATCAAATGCCTAAAGCTGATATTTATTTATTTATTGTGAATTAAATATATAGTATAATGCCCCAGCATGCGGAAGATTCATCTTTAGGACACTTGATAATTGAAAAAATCTGCCCCAACATCTGGACAATGTCTTGAGATATGGACACTTCACCAAAATTTCTAGACAAATGGAAAATGTGCATTTCTAAAAATTGTGATATCTCTTGAAAAATTTGAGATTTCTATATTGAAAAAAGTTAAAAAGAAATGTCATTATTGTATACATTTAATAAACAGTATTTCATAATCCAATACAGGCTAATTTTTTCTTCTTTCCTCAGAGTTCTTTCCAACATCTGAGTGCAGTAAAGGAAAAATTGTGCTTTTTTTTTTGTTTTTTTTGCTGCCAGGGCTTCTTTTCAGGCCAAAAGACCAGATTTTGTGTGGTTTTCTTTTCTATACTATTATTTTCTGAACCTACATAGAAGTTGAGGAAAATTGCTTTGAAGTACTACTATATTCTTTGGGTGGACGTTTTCCTAATTTCTTACAGACAGGAGAACCAATTAAATCTGTTTTCATTGGTTCTCCTGCTTCTGTGCACAACAAATTAGGAAAAAGTCTCCCCAAAAAGCAAAAAAAAAAAAAACAAAGTGAAAGTCTTTCTAAATTAAATGTGTTCCCATTGAAGTCCAAGAGTGATTCTGAACTGACATGCGGATGTTCCAACATACGGACAAGGCTGTCCGCATTTCGGAGCTCCATTGTGTAGGGACTTTCTGAAAGACCCCTGTTCCTGATGGTGGAAACGATCATCATATACTGTATCTTGATCTTCGGTGGCGGGGAACGCGTCGTTGCATCTCAAGTGATAAGCAGCAGGTTTATACTGTATAAACCCATGATGTATTTACATTATATTCATACCTCTTTCAGCTTCAGTGTTGTTGTCTCTCTCCAACGTTGAACGTCGAGTATAGTGCTGTTGGAAAAGTGTTTACGTTATACACTGGAAATTTGCTGCGCAGCAATTCCTCGAGATTTATTATTGTGAACCATCGGCAATGGCAGAGGACTTGATGCAAGCGTTGGTCTTTGATGTTGACACAAAGACCAACACGTTGACCCAGAAACCTGTACCCAGGGAATTGGCACCCAATGAAGTGTTGGTCAAGGTCTCAGCCACGGGGATTTGTGGCACGGATTTACACGGAATGAAAGTGAGTTATTTCCCAATAATACTGCTCTCAAATACAGTACAGTATTTGAATTCCCCATTATTGTACAGTACTGTACTTCCGTTTTTTTCCCCTGGTGATAATTGAGAGGATTGCACGTTCGTGGTGTATATTCAATTCTCATATTTTTGGCCATCAATATAGGCACAATATATGTATATATATCAATATATCATATATATTTCAATATATAGGCACATATAAATTGTCAAATTTACCACACTAGCAAGGGAATTGAAAGCTAATGAATCGAAAGAAAAAAAAATAGGAGGTACAGTATTTGACTCGGGTAGCTTCAAGTTTCAACTGTAGTGTAACTTATTGAAACAACCATGAAAACATTTTTTTTAGAATTTATAAAAAAGCTTTATTTGATCAAATTGAGGGGTTGGTAAATTTAACTGGTGTGCCTTCAAGCAAACTGTGTCTATTCGATTCAAAAATAAATAAATCCCCCGTGATAATTGCGAGGATTATGCTCGTCATGGTGTGCTTGTCATATTTTTGGCCAGTAGGTGTGTACTGTATAAACCAATAAGTATACCACACCAGGGAATTGAAAGCCAATGAATTTTAAAAATTTATATACAGTGAGACCCGCCACATGCAGATAATTTGTTTCGCAGCTGCAACAAAGATGCAGAAAATTACTGCGCAGAAGAAAAAAACGCGCATAATCAGATGTTTTTGCATCATGTATTAGAACGAGTTTTAAAAAAAAACGAAGAAAAAGAACACGTTGTACAAGACTGCTTGTGCACAGATTATGGAAAACTTTCTGAAAAAAGGCAAAAAATTAGCCTGTTATTTTTGGGTATTTCTGATACGGGTAATTTTACGATGAATTTTTGTCCAAACATTATTACTGTAGCTTTATTTGTTCGGGATCGAGTTACAATTCTAGAAATATTTTTTTTTTCATTTTTCTACAAATGTTGAAAAAGTATCCAATATCTCAAGATGTATCAAGAAAGATTATTTTTAGTTGCAAGCGCCTTCAAGTCAAATCTTCTGTATATACAGAGAGACCACCACATGTGGACACCTCAACATGCAGACAATTCGACATAGGGACACTCATTTTCCAATTAAAAATTAATAAAAAAGGCCCAACACGCAGACACTGGCTCAACATATGGACATTGTGTGATGAAATTGCAAATAAATTTCAGGCCAAATTACAAGAAACACATATTTCCAACCCTAAAATTGGTGTAAGAAAAGTTCTTTGAAATCTCTCTCATTAATTTACCATCCATTTAGCTAATTAAAAAGAATTAACTCTGGCATTGAGGGACTTCCTTCTCTCTTTCACTTGAATGTTATATTTTACAGAGAATGCCAACATTTATATGTACTGTTCAGAGGTATCAGTATTAAATTCCCCAAATGTCAATAATATGTAAAAATATATTGATTGTATCAGTTTAAATTGGGAGACAATTTTTATTTTCTTGAAATCATGGTGAGTATTTTGTGCATAAAACACCATTTAAGAATTATATAATGTAAGTCTGAGGGAAAATGAGACTCAACTTAGGGACACTCTTTATACACCAATTACGTCCACATCTTGGGGTCTCACTGTACTTGATATTTCAACCAAAGTTCGGATATTGGCGAAATGCCCTGGTTGTGTGTTTGTTTGTTTTCATTAAAATCGGATGCTGAAGAAGAAACTCAACCCGTTTTTCAATATGTTCTTTTTCTCAAAAAAAGGGAGAATTTCCATTGAAGAAAGGTGGCGTCGTCATGGGACATGAAATTAGCGGAGTGGTGATTTCAGTTGGCACGAAAGTGAATCACGTGAAACCCGGCGATCGGGTTGCTATAGATCCCAACAGGTGAATTACTATTTCATTTTGCGCGCTCTCCAACTTGAATAAAATAATACATTTTTTATGAGAAAAATGACTCGACGAAACTGTTTCACGCAACGAAAATTTCTCACCAAAAACGATCAAATCTTGGCGTGTTTTCCAGATTGGACTATGATTGATGTGCCAGGTTCACTAACATTTAATTATTGTACTGCACTAATTATGAGAAAGGTCACAGTTTGATGATAAATATTGGAGAAATGAATTATACGATATTCTGTTTGTGTTCCGCCTTCGTTATTCAATTTTGTGCATTAATTAATGTTAGGCTAATATGCTGACGATCAAAAGATGCGTTTCAAAACCGATTTGGCTTGGCTTTATTTACTGTTTGAGTATAAATAAATAATAATAAAAAAACAATAGCGGCTCTTAGATTTTTTTTTTTGATTGATGGAAAATTGTCGTGCGAATGAAGGGATTGTGGAATTTGCTGCTATTGCACACGAGGCAAGAGCAATTTCTGCGAAATATTGGGCATCAAGGAAAACACCGGCCTCTTTTTGGACGGCGGATTTGCCGATTATGTTCGTGTGGAAGCAGTGCAAGTTCATCCTTTACCGGAAACGATCGACTTGGAGACAGGTATAATGATTTAATATGCAAGAATGCATGTTATGTGTTTCATTCAACCACAAAAATGGAGCATATCGACCAAGTTGAAAAATAACCTTGGTTTCCTCTCGAATCTTCATTCATTTATTTATTTTTATTATTTTTTTGTGTGTGTGGAGCTAATCTTTACGAATAATTGGCAAATTTGAAGCGAACTTCTAAATGAGCGCAGTTTTTTAAATTTATTTAAAGTTGCTTCAGTCCCCCGTGGTCAGTCTCAGTTTCAATTTTGTTGAAAATCAAAATGACTCAAATACCTGCCTCTGTCAATTTTTTTCCAAGTCCCTGTCTGAATTCCCTTTGGAAAATTTGTATTAAAATCCTTCAAATCTCCATAACTCAAATTTTATGCAGCATTTCAGCTATTATTTCATTGACAGACAGAGGTGAAAATCAATAAAATGTAACTAGATTTCACATTTTTATATTCTTTTTTCTCTTTTTAAAGTAAGTGTTTCAACAGGAAGTGAAAGATTGAAGATTAATTGGGCAAATGCACAATTGCTTATAAGTTTTAGCACACCCTGTCTCAACTCATTTATATTGCAGTATTTTATGTTCATTTTCAGGTTAAAAGAATAGTTGTTTCTTCAACTGGGAACCTCCTCAACTTAGATTGTGTTTCTGCTGGTCACTTGAGGTTCAACTTGAAGAAGTTTACCTGCATTTCGAATATACAGAGTACATTATATCAGTGTTCCCCAACCCGCTGACTGGTAAAATTTCCATAATTTTTTTCTGCAGACAAGCAAATTCCCAAAAAAAAAATTGTCTGCAGACCAGCAAAGTTTCATAAAATTTTGCAAACTCCCAAAAGTTTAGATTGAAAGACTTTATGGCAGGTATTCAAAAGTTTCTGATCTTTGCAAAAATTGAGTTGAGTGCCAATGAGGCAGGCATATAGTGGAATTTGTTCAAAAAATTATAAAGGTAGGCTTGAAGAAAAGTTCCTCAGAATGAAAAAAATAAATAAAATGACCTGTATTTATTTCTGCAGGTTTATATATTTGTCTGGGGTCTTTAGACAGAAAGCAAACTTTAATTTTCATCAGATAATTACAACTGTCATTGCCCTTCAAAATTTTCATGAAAAGATAACAGCAATTCATCTCTACTTTTGATACATATGTATCATGTGGAAAGCTTTTCGCCTGTCCTTCAAGTAAATGCATCAGCTAGAAGTTGAAATGTTTTTTTCTAATATTATTATCTGATGGTTTGGAAAGACAATTGCAGTTGAAATTATCTGATCACAATAAAATTTGGCTATTTTCCCTTACAACACTCAAGAATATAATTTTTACCTGATGCTGAAATAAATTATTTACAGTTTTCCTTCTGGGAGACCATTTTTCAAGCCCAACTTTCTAATTTTTTGAAGACATTCCACTATATAGCTGCTTCACTGCTGGTTCTTGACTTAATTTTCAAAATAAAAGTTTTGTTTGGAGGACTTAATGGGAGGTATTTAAATTTTTTCTGACAGTCTGGAACAATTTTAATTTTCAAGGAACACCGCTGGTCCAAAAAATTGTTATGGAAATAATGTATGTTGGTCAGAAGATAATTTTAGGAAAATGTGCTGGTCCATGGGTCCAAAAAGGTTGGGGGAACACTGTGGTAAATAGGATCACATGAAAATGTCTGCGTTGCTGCATGCTTGTTTACCAGGATCATGACCAGGCATTTCCTAACCCGCTTTCCGGGGTTTCCCCTTTCACTTACAGTATTGTGAATTGTTTACAAAGCTTGAAATTGATGATCTTAAGGTTTCTTGGCGGAGACGATGTCGTGCATCGTTCACGGGCGAGACATCCTGGGTTACCTGGAACCCGACGCAAGAATCGGCATTTTGGGAGCAGGCATTATTGGAGTCTTGTGGACTGCCCTTCTTCACCACGAAGGTCATCGCAATATTTTCGTGACTGAACCATCACCCGAACGGCGACAAGCAGCAGCAAGTCTTGGTGAATTTAAAAAAAAAAAAATATATATATATATATATATATATATATAAGTGAAGGCGGCTGTTGATGAAAATGGCAGAATTGCATTGGATGACCTGGAGGCAACCATTAGAAAGAATGCCAAGTTCATTTCAAAAATTCTGAGGGGAAAGCTGGGCTACAACAAAAAAAGGGCGCCTCATTTTTTGAGTGGAGAGCAAAACTCCATATGGATGAATTTTGCAAAAAAATTGAAAAAAAATTGTCAAACCAGGCTGATTTTTTTGTGTGTGCTAACGAATATGTTTTGGCTAGAGAATACATTTTTTCAGCTCAATTGTATGCCATTTTCATCGCTACTCCAAGAACTTTTGTTAGAACCCTTGTATATATATATATATACAGTATATTCCTAGTGAAATAATCACTTGACTGCTTAATAATTGATGTGGGAACACTTGATACTTTAATCTCTTTAACTGATGCTCATATTTTATTGAATGGTCATTCAATTAGTGCCTCAAGTGGGGAGCTATTCTATGTGTGACCCTGCAAATGGTGCACACTGTGGTCACAATTGGTGTACATATGGGCTATTCTGGGGTTACAAGCATGCACCTCTGGGGACAAAATCTTGCTACCATCATTCCTGGGCTACATTTGGTGCACAAATGTGACATAACAGGAGTATCACACAAATGCACCAACTGATGTAACCTTGGTGTAACCTTGGTGTAACTTATTTGTTTGCAAATGTGACCTTGAGTAATCCCGGTGTGAACACACAATTGGTGCACATTAGGGATATGCATGTGCAACAGAAGAACTTTGGTACACTTCAGGTGCACAGCAGGGTCACAGTGTAGAATTACTAACATATATCCCCAGTGTGCACAAATTTCCCCACTTGGGTGGGTATAGACACTGTTTGCTTGAAGGTACACCATCAGTTGAATATACCAATGATGTCTGGATGCCATCAAATGAAACTTTTTCCTTAAATCTTAAAAAAAGAATGTTTTCAAGTGTGCTTCAAGGTACAGACAGTTGAAACTCCTTGAGTCAAATACCTTCCCATGTCAAATGTATTGCAAGTCCTTGTCTAAATTCCCTGTAAACAGTGCATTAAAAACATCCTCAACTCAAAGGCTTTCCCTCTCAAACCTCCACATGAATTGAACTTTCTGAAGGCCTTTTGGCTATCATTTCATTAAAATAGGAAAGAGAAAAACAAGAAAAGTGTAACTTGATGCATTTTGAAAGGAAAAAAGACTAATTGGGGAAATGAACCCTTGTCTCCAACTTCAACATATGTTTAGCACTATCAACTCATTCAAGAAGAAATTTAAGAAGTAAAATATTATCAATTAAAATTTTCTGTAATTCTTGCTTTCCCCCAAAAATGTTTGTTTCCCTATACAGTGACCGCAGAAACATCCCAAACTTTATATTTTTTCATGGTTATCTTGAAGTACAGGTGGTACCTTGAAATTTGACCCTAATCCATTGCCAAACTAGGGTCTAATTGCAAGACCCTTTGTTAATTAAAAAAATATCAGTACAAAAACACACAAAAATTGGACAAAAATCAGGTCAAGTTGTGGGGTAAGGAACAAATTGCAAGTCAACCTCTCTGCAAATTCAACTGTTTAATTGCAAGAGGTCAAATTGCAAGGTACTTGCAGCAGCACCTGTATAACAATAAGTTACACCTGTATAACAATAAGTTACACCTGTATAACAATAAGTTGCACCTGTATAACAATAAGTTACACCTGTATAACAATAAGTTACACCTGTATAACAATAAGTTACACCTGTATAACAATAAGTTACACCTGTATAACAATAAGTTACACCTGTATAACAATAAGTTACACCTGTATAACAATAAGTTACAGGCCTTTTGGCTATCATTTCATTAAAATAGGAAAGAGAAAAACAAGAAAAGTGTAACTTGATGCATTTTGAAAGGAAAAAAGACTAATTGGGGAAATGAACCCTTGTCTCCAACTTCAACATATGTTCAGCACTATCAACTCATTCAAGAAGAAATTTAAGAAGTAAAATATTATCAATTAAATTTTTCTGTAATTCTTGCTTTCCCCCAAAAATGATTGTTTCCCTATACAGTGACTGCAGAAACCTCCCAAACTTGATTTTTTCATGGTTCCCTTGAAGTACAGGCGGTACCATGCACTTTGACCCTAATCCATTGCCAAACTAGGGTATAATTGCAATACACTTGGTTAATTAAAAAAATATCAGTACAAAAACACAAAAAAATTGGCCAAAACAGGTCAAGTTGTGGGGTAAGGAACAAATTGCAAGTCAACCTCTCTGCAAATTCAACTGTTGAATTGCAGGAGGTCAAATTGCAAGGTACCACCTGTATAACCATAAGAGGTTCTATGCTGTACTTCTGAAACTTTTGAACAGCCCTGGTCTATGGTTTCTGAAAAGTATAAATTAATGTCTGCTGGTGATAGATATGCATCACAAACACGTTTGGTAGCTGGCTCTGAAGACATAATCTCGCCACCCTATATACCTTCGCGTTTTTCTTCTATTCCATGTATGATCAGGGTTCGAAGGGGTGAAGGTCATGACTCCTAAGGAAGCAAGCGAGGACATCACCATATCTGGCGAAGAAGGAGGCTTGGATTTGGTGCTGGACTGCTGTGGGGTCGCTGCTGCTGTTCAACCGGCGCTCAAGTGGATACGACGAGGCGGAACTCTCATGGTTTTCGCCTGCGCCGCTCCAAAGGAGAATATTTCGTGAGCGAAATTTTCATTCATGCTTCAATAAAAGCAGATTTTTGAATATGAAAAGGATGAGCATGATAACAAGGCCGAAATAAAACATAATTTTACCTGCTTTGCAGCACCACGAAATCAGATCAAATTTTTCTTAGCATAAGGAAATGTGCACTTTTTATTCCTAATACAAATAGAAATATAACTTTTGAATACTTTAGAATTGAACTTCAGATTTCAAGGGTGCTGCTGTATGGAACAGGAAATAATAACATTCAGGAAAATCAAATCAGCATGGAAAGGAAAGGCAAACCCAAAAACTGGCTTAAATTTTTTTTTTAAAGCATCAGCATGGGAATTTTTATTTTCAATTTCTCAGGGGCCCTATACTAAGTCTGGTGGGCATAATGCTGCAGCATCATTTGCACCCATTTTAATCCAACCCTGAGCCTGAAGCTACTGATGTACCTATAGAAGGGATATAAGTCCCATTTCTTCCATTTAGTGACTACATGCAGTACCAAAAGGAATCTCACTACCTTATCTGAACCATCAATTCTAGTTAGTTGTAGAATCATTCTAGTGCATTTTGACTATGCTGGCTTATTAAACTTGGGTCACCTTTCTTCAGGGGGGGATGTGGTGTAGGCCGTAGGGGAACCCTCTCAAAGTTTCTCTTAAAGATTATTGAAGTTTAATTATTGTATTCTTGTTTAACCTCTTTATGATGGAACTGAAAGGACAGACAGGGGTTTTTCTAGAATGGAGAAATACACCTATATGTTATAGGGTGTATAGAATCATTATTGAGCACAGTCTTCCCAACCTTTTTTTTATTGCAGACTGGCAAATTGTCTTAAAATTGTATGTGGACCTGCCAAGTTCCATACAATTTTCAAAGATATCCAAGGAATTTTTTCAAATACCTGCCATAAGGTCCTCAAAACAAAACTTGCATTGCAAAAATTAAGTAAAGAACCAATGAGCAGCTACACATATTGGAATGTCTTGAAAACAATTGAAAGTTGGGCTTTAAGAAAGGCTTCTCAGATTTAAAACTGAAAATAATGTACAGTATTTCAGACAGGTGAAGATATGTCTGAAGCATAAAGTGTATATATACAAGAAGAACAGCCAACTTTTACTTTTCCTCAGATAATTTCAACTGCCATTTTCTTCCAAAATTGCAGATAATCAACAAAAACAGGCTTCATTACTACCTTCTATAAGTGTATCATGCTGAAGAAATTCTCTGGCACACCTTCAAAAAACTTCTGCAGCAGACCATGAGTTTGGGAACACTGCTATTTAGAGGATCTTGTTATTGTTTACTGTAATTGAGATGGAAACACCATCTCCTTTTTTTTTGTTGCTTATATAGAGGACCACAGAGGAAAGGCTTCTGAACAATTTTCTCTTCAGTTTTGAACCGTACTGAAATTTTCAGCTTTTGACCACCTCCGCAGTTCAACCAGAAACTAATTCTCTTGATTCTGAATGACAATGACTGCCAAATTTAATGACGTCGTTCGATTTGTTATTGATGCACACTCATGCAGATTGAACCTGTTTGACGTCTACTACAAGGAACTGAAAGTCATCGGATCACATATCAACCCACGAACAATCAGCAAGAGTCTGGGGCTGATGGCAGCGATGAAAGACAAGTTCGTTCTTTTAGCTTACTCCATGCCAGAGTTGGAATAGGGTGTTACTGAACCGAAAATGGATTTTTGCCTCTTTCCTATTGAACAGGTATCTCGGATTTGACAAGATCGGCATCAAGGCTTACAAGTTGGAGGACTATGAGAAGTGCTTCAGCGACTTGTACTCCGGTAAAGTCACGAAGGCGTATTTCAAGTTCTGAAAATTTCTTGATTCTGAAACAGCCTTCCGTGTCTTCGAAGAACGTGGGCATCGTATGATTTGCAGCAATAATAAGCGACGGATTATTTTCATTCGTCAAAAAAATAAATATTGACGGCGGGTTTGTCTAGCCAAATGCTGCAAAGCGAATTTTTTTTCATCATGGCGGTGAATTTGCCATCAAGATTACAGTACTGTACTTCATTGTCTTCTATCCTTGTATTTGGCATGGGATAATAATAAACATTTTCTGGGCTCATTCAAAATTGCGAAACATAATGTTTATTATTTATTGCTTCGAAACTTTGAAGAAGTGTCTATATCTGAAGATATTGTCTGGGTGTCGGGGCGAATTTTTAAGCGTTGTGATGTATCCCCAAGTCGTCTCGTCGGTATGTTGGGATCCCATTTATGTACTGCAGTTGCAGGGGTTGAGCTATGGGAGACAGGTGGGGATTCTTGAGCAACTGGAATATAGAGGGCGGGCGTGTGACAATCATGGCGGCGCCCTCACTGATATGCCTACAGTAAGGCCCTTCCCTTACCGACTAGAGCGACACCTAGGCGACCCTACTGGAGAAAGTCCAAACGTCCCAAGAACCCACCCAGTTCTTTCTTATCTCTTGCATCATCAGAGGAACCACCGCAGGAGGCCCTGACGGCAGGAGACTCTAGTCGGTAAGGGAAGGGCCTTACTCTACACTCGTCCACTGATCCATGCGAGATTCCCCGTTCCAGGGCAACTTACCCTCAGAACCGCTCAACGCAGGGATTCCTCTTCCACGCCACCCCCACCAGCGCCACTCTCTCCTTGTGTCACCAGCAGCATCATCAGTGGCTTTCAGTGAGTCAGTCAGTGATTTGAACTGCAACAATTTAACACAGTGCTGCCGAACTCATAAGTGGCCAAGGGTATCCTATTTTTTTTTTTGTCAAGGGTCGCATATTCCAGAGGAGCAGATCTTTGTAGGCCACAATAATAGGCATACTAAATTCTTTCCGAAATTTCCCTTTCAAACGAAAATTTTCATAATTAATTCAGTGCTATGTATCAATAACATGCCTTTTCAGCAACCTTTTAAATTTTCAAATTAATCTTTCAATAAAAGTATATACAATAGTTTGATTTGAACAGTGGTGGTTGTCACCTTGAAAATTAGAGGAAAGAAATCATGCGACAGACAAAGAGTCTCCAAGGGTCAGATCTTGTTAGGTAGCACTGATTTAGCAGTATATAGATTTTGGGAAGACTTCCAAGGTAAAATGCAGGTGGACTCTCCAACAAAATTCAAGGGACTAGAAAAAAATTGTTGTAAAAATCATTTTGTTCCAGATAACCCCTAAACCACAGGGAAAGGACCCTACGGGCCCAAAATGAAATTTGTTATGCACAAAAAATTTTTGTAGAGAGAGAGAGAGTTTAATGGTACATATATTAAGAGAACACATTTTTCAAATTAATAGTACAGTTTAGGTAAGTTTTCCAGTAAATAATACTCTACTATATTCCTATACCAATATATCGACACAAAACTCATCCTCAAAAACATTTGCTTTTCATGAAGTCACTATAATTCATAAGAGTTGGGAGAGGGAGCGGAAATCAATATCCCCCTACTGGAGGGGCGTGGAAAGGAGCGGCTGTGAGGTGAACGGCATGGGAAGGAGCGGCGGTGAAAGAAATAAACGCCGTCACGTCCAGACCCCTATCACCGACGTCGGTTGATGAGCTCTCGTAAGAAGCAAATTCGATTCGTCTAAACTTACATCTAAATTTATAGGATGAAAATCTGAGGAGAGATATCTTCCAAATCATCACTGAAAATGTTTGTGCTTTCCTGGTGGTAATCCCTATTCCTTCTTACGGCATTTTTTTTTCATTTTACTCACCGTATACTCCACAGTATTTTGTTCTGTCCGTGAAACCTGGTTGGCATTTTTTATTCAACTTTATATGGATTCGATACCTGAACGTAAAGCGGAGAAAATCCGCGTGGTGTACCGAAGTGCCGCAATTCAGGAGAGTCCGCCACTTGGTATTGCCAGATCTCGTCATGAATAATCGACGCACGAGTTTATCGTTGCTATGGTAACCGACCAATATTTCGACTATTGGACGCACATTCAATGCTTTCATTTTACGCGAAGGATTTCCCGAAGTACTGTACTCTACATACTGAGGAGCAACGTCTTTCTTCTTGCGCGAGGTGATGCATGACGATTTTCTACCGGTTTCATTGAACTGTTCATGGAAGAGCCATTGCGGACAGTTTATTTTCGAAGTGGCTTTCATGTGATGGAATGCGTTGGTTTCTGTAGGTAGTATACATATGATTTAGTTGTGAAGCTCAAATGTGGTTAGTATCACAGGAATGTAGGAAGTCCCTGTAGTTCGCGGGAAGAAGTGATACATAGCAAGGCTGGGTGGAATCGTACTGCCACATATATTCTGAAGCAATGATTCCAGGAGGATTAGATGATCATGCCTCATCAGAGCATGATCAAAAGCTTGCTAAGCAGGTACATTCTCAATTTTTATGATTCGAGCTCGTTTCTGCGTACGCGACTGCATTTCGAAATACTGTATGTTCGTTGATATTGATCATAGAAAGAACTGTGGGATCAGCGACAAAAAGCCAAACGATCTCACAGTGGAATGCTTCAGGCATCTGAGCCCTTTGCAAGTCGACCGTCTTCAGCAAGGAGTAGTACCTTCGTCGTTCGAGTTAGTCGGGAGGAAAAACAGCCCATTTCAGTAAAGGAGCTGAAAAGCAGATCCAGCGTTCACGGTACATAGAAGAAACAAGTATCAATTCTCATCTTGATAATTGTTTCTGAGCTGCCAGGAGGAAAAGCTCCAAGCAAACATTACGCAACCGAAGTCTCTATGTACACTTCTAGTCATTATGAGCATGTAATGATTCAATTCTATCGAGCCTTCTTACGGAAATGAAAATCTCGTAACTTGAAGTTATGCAACAGAAAAGTCAGGCATGTATGCTTTTCTGCACAATAGGCATCAGTGCTTAGACAAATTCTGAAATATCGAACGAGTCTAAATTCAGTTTTATAGTCAAGTTTGTATCTAAATATTCCAAGCACATGAATAGTACTGTATCAACAAAACACATCAATTGGTCAAAGATTCTTTTCACTCTCCAATAGTGTGCAGTATTTCAGTACACTATACTGTTCATATTCAAAGGAAATGCTGCAGGGATTAAAGCCCCGCATTTTTCTGAATGAAAGTAATTCAGAACTATCAAAACGGTTAGAAACATAACCCAAAGATACAACTTCGCCTTTTCCTAATCCACGACATTTTCGTTCCTGCGGGACTTTCGTGCCTCGCGAGATTTTTAGACCTACGGGATTTTCTCCGGCTTCCGAATACAATACATTTCAAGGGAAAATACTGTGTGCCCCCAGTAAATCCGAAAATAATACCAACAATCATATTTTTAAGAAATGCAGGTTTCCATCTGCTTTCTGTGTACGCATTCGAATAACAAACGAGTAGTTCAGATACAAAAAGTTGATCTCACGAAACGCTTGGGCTCCTTATTCTGGGTGCCTTTCCCTGTCGCAAACACTAGCAATTAAAACAGGTGCGATTACTTCACAGGGATTGACAATCCAATCCGGTCAAACACCGATGATCCCGATGGAATGCCGGCAGTGCAAGTGTTGCCCGTTCTGTGTGGAAAGTCATCTGATGCAGAAGACTTGAGCACAGATGATGATCTCGATTCGCCAATGAAGGGAGACAAATCGTTCGTGAGCAGAAAGGGGAATTTACCCAAAGCTTTGTCCAGCATGGGCACCTTAAGTAAGTTCAAATCGTCCCCCTCTCCCCGATTCAATTGTCTGATTTGCAAGTACTGTATCAATTTCCAGGCGATACCATGGTGAAAAAGATGACGATGGACCCTGGACCGGATTCAGAAGACGAGGACTATGAATCAACGCCAGTTGTTCTTGCCTTGAGCCCAGAAGATAGTGGTGTTTCATCTTCAGCTGCTGGTTCTGTGCCATCCGACACGCCAACAACGGGCAAAGCCAGAGAAGTGAAGAAGGAACGGAAAAAGGCACCCCCAAGCGCGATTTCAAATCGTAAACCGGACATGACTATTGCAGATGCTATTCGAGGAGCTCAGCCATCTCCGAAGCTTATGGTTAGAGATGAGGTACACCCTTTATTTTCCAACTTCGACTCCTGGAAAAATATGCTGTTCAAGATTACAGTACTGCATTCAATCTAGTACCACGCTCCCTTGCATAAGATGCACACCAGGGGGTTTCAGTCAAAATATTTGATAAAATTGTAACCCCAAGTAAGACGCGCAGCCCATTTTTAATGAATTTAAAACAGCTATTTTTAGAAGATAATAATACCCAAATTTGAATTCAGACATTAATTGATCCAGAATTCAACTAATTTTCAATCATTTCCATTTCAATGAGTTTTTCTGCAAAAATTTCCATTATAATCAACCATAATGCGCACCTTTAAAACTGATCTAAAAATGTACACTCGAAACTGATCGCAAAATACCCGACTTTGACACGCTCCTCTTTTTTCCTCCCAATTTTTAGAAAAAATGTTCAAATGGTAATTGAGGTAATGAGGTAATTAAATTGCAAATACTGACAAATTTGAGATTTTGGTAGGATGATACGTTTTAAACATAACTATAGCATTAAATGATCAGTTCATAGTTAAACGTGTAAATATTCTTTCAATGTGGACTCTCTTGGCACTGAAATTCAGGAGGCAAGAAAAAAATCATTGAAGAGAACCTATATAAAATGGGTAGAGAATTTGGATTGATAAAAAGTGTTAATAAGCTTAAAATCGTAGTAGAGACAGTTTACTTTTATTTGCAAGGCCGTTTTCACCTGGGAGAAAATGAAATTGAGCAAATTTGTGTAAGAGATTGTCCTGTGAAAAATGGTGCAGTACTTTCTTTTACACCCTGTTGGAAGCTACCACTGGCAGCTTGAACAGCACGTTACAACATGTGGAGAATTTATGAGTTACCCGGCACTTTCTTGAAATTGTGCGTGTCTTACGTAGTACTGGTGTGAATAATGGACACTCATTTGCGTCACTACACAATTTTATGAGAATTTCGTTAAAGTACATTTTTTCAACAGGATGAAGATCTTGAAAGTGGATCTTGAAATTGTGCGTGTCTTACGTAGTACTGGTGTGAATAATGGACACTCATTTGCGTCACTACACAATTTTATGAGAATTTCGTTGAAGTACATTTTTTCAACAGGATGAAGATCTTGAAAGTGGTGACAGAAGGTTTAGCGTGGGCGGAAAATCAGGATATGATCAGGAAGAAGAGCCTTTGAATCTCGACGACATGCCACCGTCTGTGGAAGAACTCGTCATGGAGCCAGCACCAGAAAACGTTTTGGTCAAATGCAGGATCATGCGGGATCGCAAGGGAATGGATAGAGGCCTGTTTCCAACTTATTTCCTGCACTTGGAACGGGATGATGGGAAAAAGGTGAGGAAACAGTTGACATTCAAAAATGTTGGCATTAAAAAAAAAAAAGTTTTCGGTTACTCTTAAAAAATCAAATAGATGTTTCTCTTGGCTGGGCGAAAGCGGAAGAAAAGCGCGACAAGCAACTACTTGATCTCTACCGACCCGACAGATCTTTCCCGTGGAGGAGATTCATTCATAGGAAAACTGCGCTCCAACTTACTGGGGACTCATTTCACTCTTTACGATCACGGGAAATCTCCTGGAAAGTTGCACGTTCCCAACGAGAAGCTTCGCCACGAACTTGCAGCCATTATATATGTAATTTTTCCGTCAATTTTTGTTTTCTTGTGCACATCATGTTAAGCTAAAATATCGCACTTAACTTTTTTTTTCTTTTCCTTGAAGGAACCGAATGTACTTGGCTTTAAAGGGCCGCGGAAAATGACGGTCGTGATTCCTGGGATGACACCTGACCGGAAACGAGTTCCTATCCGTCCACTGACAGAGAGAGAAAGTCTAGTTGGTGAGCTTTCAAAATTATTTCTGTATTCATGAAATTTTCATCCTCACCGCATATTTTTCTGCATTGTTCGAAAGTTCTGAAAACTGAGCAGTTCACATATTTTAAAAATGTGTTAAGTTGAAGGGAGGAAAAGATTTACGGAGTTGACTCTCAAAATTTAAATAAGATCTTTATAAATGTATATTGTATTGCTCATTGATTTTTTTACTAAGAGAAATTCAAGACGCAGAATTTTGAGCTCATCCTGCAATTGCACAACAAGTCACCATCCTGGAACGAAGATACACAATCCTACGTGTTGAATTTCCGCGGACGAGTTACACAAGCATCGGTGAAGAATTTTCAGATAGTTCATGATGCGGATGGTGAGTTTTATTCACGCAAAATGAGGAATACATCACAGGTTACTAATGAAATTACTTTGAAATGAGAAACTTATGTGAATAATTTCTCAATGACAAGTCCACTCCAATTCCAAGTATCGCGGTCTGATCTCAAGTCACAGGCAGTAACAGTGGAATTCCTCGTTTACACAAAATCATCCGTAGTTCCATCTACTAATTGATTACTCGAGCGTGTGCATGAATTTCTATGGGTTCACAATTTTACCATGAATTGACATAATGCAGTCATTTTTTTTTCATGATAAAATAATGATGCCCTTAGTTTTGCTTGACCGTTAGAAAAAACCCCGGTAAGCTTCCGTTAAAATTTCCATGCACTTATGCATGAACATTATGCGTTTGGCCCAATGTTTGAAATAGGCCGAACATTTAAGACTCCACTGCGGTGTACTAACTCGTTGAATTTTCCAATTTCCTGTCTAAGAAATTGAAAATACATGTTATTTCTCATTACAGTGGAATACATAATCATGCAGTTTGGAAGGGTGTCCGAAGATGTTTTCACCATGGACTTTCGCTATCCCATGTGCGCCCTGCAAGCTTTCGCAATAGCATTAAGCAGCTTTGATGGGAAAATTGCTTGCGAATAGAAAGAAGAAGGAGGAAACTTGTGTTTAGTAAATGTGTGTGTTCTCTTGGTTTTTCGTGATTTTTAAACCGCACACTTTCCGTCCAGAATGCAACTTTGTGCTGTGACGCATTGATCTCCAATGAATTTTTGATGGAAAGATTCTAGTCAAAAGCTTAAATCCTGTATTTGACTCACTGAATGTTTCAAGTGGCATTCACCTTTTTGTTGTTGTTATTACTGGATTCCATCACGATCATTCCCCCGAAAGTGCTTGTATTATCCATTTGTGTGTGCGCACGTTTATTTCCGTTGAGTCTCGAAGTGTTCAGATTTCTAGAATTGTACAGCTTTTCGTTTTGTTCCATTTACATCAGTAGCTAATTTTCTACGGGGGAGTCACAAAGTGGCCCGGAAGGCACAGTGTTGTGGTTTTCATGCAAAATTTACGTTGAGTTTGTGGTACGCATCGTATTGAAATGAATCCGTCCGGAATTTTAGGAGCAGTACAAGTCAGCGTTTTTAATTACTGTGTTCTGTATATAAGTATTATTTCTTTATTTGAGACATAGACCAAGATTCTCTCAAATTAGAGCCATTTTCATAGTATCATGCCAATGCTAGAGATTCCAATGAATGTGCTTCAAGATTTTTAGATTAACCTGAGCCTCTGACTTAACATGAAAATCTGATACACCAATAAACACTCAAATGTATATTTTCCTCTCCTCTGAAATGGACTATCTTTTAATGCATCACTTCTCATTGGAAGATTATGCAATAAAAACTGGTTGGAAAACTCACAACTTGGAAGCTATATTTGATTAGAAATGTAAGTGTGAACGTATCATGATTGAAATTGCAAGTGATGCATAAGGAAGGGGTTTGTTCTCTGTACATTTTTCCACTAGCATTGAGATACTGTACAGTATATCAATAATTTTTAAGTATTAGTAAGTTATAATTGAATTTACGAAGAGGAAAACATTGAGAAAGGGGATAAGTGACTGCTGGCTGGAAGAAAGAAAAATGGCGCACTTCTTGCCTTAAATATAAAATGAAAATGTACTTACCAACATTGCCGCTATCCAAAAGAAAATCCTAGGAAGTCCGCATGAGTTCAGTCAGAAACCTTTTCTGGGTTGAAGATATAATTCCTGAAAAAGGCATCACTTTTCTAGTTTTCTGAAACATAAAATTCAATTATAGATTCAAGAGAAATTTGATCAAAAATAAAACTGATAAAGAAGAAAAATATTGCAATTGCATAAGATTTTTCTCACCAGATCTCAATATCGAGCAGTTTTAGAAATTATATTTCACTTCTTCAATCACATTATGCCAAGAAATATGCCTGCAGGAAATCACAATTATGTTTTTAACAATCTAGTTCACAAGGATTGGATGTAAAGCTCCATGAAGACAGTGAGGAAAAGCATGACAAATTCCAACAAACAGGGTTTAAAAAAAACCCTCAGAACCTTACAAAAAGTCATACAGCAAAATTTGCAGTAAGCAGGGATTGATTCTGAAAATTCGTTCAGATTTTAAATTTTGATTCAAAACAATGAGACAACTGAAAAAATTCAGCACTTATAATTTAACCCTTGGGTGGCAGCAGGTTCTTTTTTTGTTGCACAACAGAGTTGGGGTTCTTTTGGGGACCCCAAAACATGAGTGATGGGGATTCATGCATAGGACAGTACTTTCCATGACTTCAAATAACATGCAAATGGTGCATGTGAATCACTTATCAGGAACACTCCTTCAAATGGAAAATTGAGATTAATACCAAGGTGCAAACCACAATATTTCATCTAAATCACAAAAAATTTCCAGCAAAAAAGTCACTATAGGGAAAGAAAAAAACACTTGGTGGGATTCACAGGAACAGGACGGTGAAAAAATTCACAGAAAGGAAAGTAAACTTATTTTTCTATTACTCTATTGTAACTAATCTACAAGAACAACATTTTTTTCAAGTTGAAAATTTAAAAAACTTCTTGCAAACAAGCAGTGATGTAAAAAGTTTGAAGTTTGGCTCAACACATTTTTTGCATCAAATTTGTATACCGAATTTGTATGGAAGAAATATAAATCCTGGGAGTTTCTATCACATGTAATCTCAGGCTCAGCATTTTCCAATCCCACAGCACTGCCATGCCACCAAACGGGACAATCCAGTACACTTCAATAAAAACTGATGAATAAAATTATTATGAAATTTTGAAGAAGAATTTAAAAAAAATCAATCAGTCAAATTCACTCAATTGGTTCGCATACGGAAAGATGGAAGGAACCAATGCGAACACCGAAGATTCGTCATTGAAACCACGGCTACTTGGAATGTACTTCAACCAGCTGAAGAATTTTGTAATGGATGAAGAAGAAAACCGAATCTCTCTCTCCAGCTCAAAGTTGTAGGTGAATGATGCAAAAGACTTATCATTAAACAAAGTAGCTTGCTTCACGGAAAAATCTTGATCGAAGCCACTCATCAGTCCTCTGTCGCATGATGATGACACCAAATACTTTTTCATGGCATGTTTGTAGGATTCGAAATTGTGCGTGGAAAAAGAATTCCCTCTGAACACAAGAAGAACATTTTCGAGTACTTTGAACGTCTTCACGGCTTGGAGAATTTTTCCGAAATCCTGCGAAGAATAAGTATAGAAAGGAAGAGAAATAGAAAAAACTTTAGTGTGAAAAATAGGGTATCAATTCTGATGGTCCTCTCAAAACACCACTGACATCTTACTTATAACAGAAAATGAAGCTTGAAATATCTTGACAAAAAAATAAAAATAAAAGCAAAAGCATAAGTGAACACTGTTTCTGCTTCTTGAGAAAATTCTGTCCTTCGAACTTTCGAGGCCATGCTGCAACGGTCTTCTTTTTATCGTACAGTATTTCTTTGAATTATGTAGTTTTAGATGTTTCCGCGATGTGTGAATGTGATAATCTCACCTCCGGATCTGGCACATGAATCCACAAGTCCTTCAGCGACTTTTGACTCTCAGCGAAAATTTTCAACGCGGAAACCAAGCAACAGCCATTGACTCCGGAAAATGCAGCGAACTCCAATCGTTGAGGCAATTCACTGAGGGCATCACAAGGAAGAGCCTCTGGCACATGTAGAACCAGTCCTCTGAGCTTGGAGCACGCCCCAAGTTCATCAACAACACTTTCTAGGGATCTGGAAACCCCCTTGTGTTGGAAAAACAGCCCCACACACTCCAGGTTGATCATTTTTGAATACGGAATGTATGTTTCCCACAAATCGACAGCGACAAACGTCAGATGTTCAAGCCATTCCTTGGGGCTTTCATCAAAGGCATGAAGTCGTGTTGGTTCAGCCATTTGGTTTGGCTGAGCACACCTGATCCAGAGCCTTTTCAATGACGGCATTTCGAATAAACGACTGACTGCACTTCCTGGTGCTGCATCTCGTAGCAAGAAGGACTTCAACTGCGGATTATTTCATAAGGAAATATATATACTGTACTTATTTTCATCTTCCAAAAATCATGCATTCAATATAACATATAAATACGAATAAGAAGCCAATGCTCACCCAGAATTTGCGGCGAATGACTGCAGGATATTGCTGATTACGTTGCCTCGTACAGTATATGGCAGTCTTTCACGAAATACCAGGGTTGGTTTGTAAAATATGATGAACGGCCAATAAATGCCGTCATTGGAGGCAGATGCAATTTTTTCTTTTGCTTCTCATTCCTTCATTGGTGTCTAATAACTGTTTCATCCACAATAGTCAGCTACAGAAGGAAACAAGAAAAAGACTTGGATCACAGCAAATCCCCTCCACTGCAGTGAAGTTTAACGGATCCATTGATTGTATAGAGCATGCAAATGCGCAGCTCCTCTTTATCCATTAAACTTTAATGGAAATTTTATGGATAAAGAGGAGCTGCGCATTTGCATGCTCTATACAATCAATGGATCCATCAAAATTCACTTCAATGGAGAGCATTGACTGTGAGGTCTTTTTCTTGTTTCCATCTGTAGCTGAATAGGGGATGAAACATTTATTAGACACCAACAAACTGACGGGTGCCCAGCCACGCCTGGGCAATGGTTGATAAAATTACTAAAATCCTATAATTAAAAACTACCCTACCCTATGTGACACAACAACCTGCCCTACCCTACACTACAACCAACCCTACCCAATGAACTACCCTACCTTACTCTACCCTACAACATACCCTACCCTACACTACAACCAACCCTACCTTACTCTACCCTACCCTACACTACAACCAACCCTACCCAATGAACTACCCTACCTTACTCTACACTACAACCTACCCTATATACCAACTTGCATCTGCCTCCAATGACAGCATTTGGCTGCTGTTTCATCATCTTTTACAAACCAACCCTCGTACTTCAGTAACATGACTGACTATTTTTGTTCTGGTTCAGATTTATAGAGAGCCACAAAAAATTTCAACGGGAAATCTCTTCGAGTAAAAATCAGAAATAACTCAAAACCAATCATGGGATAAATTTTGTGAGATAAACTGTGAACACGCCTGACGTCTGATTATTGCGATTTTCAACAGGGATCAAGAAAGAAATTTCGAATTCGTCATTACACATGCGATGTCCAATCGAGAAAACGAGAATATCTAACAATGAGGACGCCAGGCAAAGCAAAAATGTGTTCAAAGAAGCCTTTCTTACTCCCGCGCGTTAAATAAAAAAAAAACGTATTCAAATTTACCTTTGGAAAAAGAAAACGTGTCTCAAAAGACACTGGCATTTTCTTGAATATGTCCTCTCGTAAACTGAGGGAATCCAGGTTTTCGAAAGTTCCCAAGTTTTCAGCCAGGTTCCAAGCGGTCTCATTCATTTCAATGGGAAGGCGTATGGCATGAAGACTTCGAAGCTCTCCAAAGCCAAGGAAATGAAGAAACTCCCTGGAACTCGAATTCACTCGCATTGAGATTTCCTCGGCATCGATCAAATGCAATATCTTCAATCTAAAAATGAAAATATTTCTCACAGTTTTAATTCGAACGGACATCTGCCCACGGGGTAACGGATTCCCCCCAACAACTTGCACAGTGACAACTCAAGCAGTGCGACAAGTCGCAGTTTTTTTTCTGCAAAACTTTTGTTGCTTTAAATTTACGTTCAGGCAAATATGAATACTTTTTTGCATATAGATTCTCTTTTGTCCTACGCTATTTGAATACATTTTTTATTTTGTAAATATACTAAATGGGACTTGAGAACATAAAAAATACGATGAATTTGTCCTCTCTGGCTTTTTTCGGCATGTATAGGAACAGGATTCTGTTCATCGGTTTTTTTTTCAATACTTGTGCTTTCAATCTAGTCAAGGACTATTCTGATGCATGGAAAAATGATTCTGGTGAAGTTAGTGAAATTAAATTGGTCAACTTTGGGATGGTCATGTACATGCAGCAGATAGTCTTGCAGCAAGTGGAGATGCCTCATTTTGTTGCGTTTTTGCCAAATCTATAAGCGGCACACATGCATCAAAATTAACTTTGATTAGATTGAAAACACAAGTATTGAAAAAAATTGAGGATGAACATAATCCTATTCATCCATGCCAAAAACGAGAGAGATTTTCATGGACAAATTCATCCTTACATTTTTTATGTCCTCAAGCCACATTTTGTACATTTACAAAATGAAAAATGCATACAATTAATGTAGGACAAAAGATAATCTATACTGAATATGCAAAAAACTATTCATATTTGCCTGAATGTAAATTTAAAACGACAAAAGTTTAGTAGGAAAAAAACTATGCAAGTTGTTGCACTGTTTGAGTTGTCGCTATACAAGTTGTCGCACTGTGCGACTTGTCGCTGTGCGAGTCGTTCCGTAATAAACCGGGGTTACGCTTATACGGTATACTTGCCTCGGAAAAATTAGCTTTATATCCACTGAACGGTCTCGGTTGAATGAACACGGCAGAGTGACTTGTTCACAGTTGGGTAGGACAAGGTTCTCATTGCTAGCTGTATGCAAGAAGCTGCCGTCGAACGGCCAATCACGAATCGTCAGTAATTTCAATTTTCCCAAAGCTTCGCTTTTCAGAAATTTCATCACGAAACGCCCAGCACCCCAGGAATAAATTTCAAGCGCCTTCAAATTCTTCCTGTCATCAGCTTTGAACAATGGACGATCAGCGTTTGATTCTGGCAAACACAGTCGTTGCATTTCTCGGACCTTGAAGTCCACCGCAAGTCTCCGCACATTTCTGAGGAATGATTATGCAGTAGTTATAGTATTCAGTATTCCAGAATACAGTATAATAAATATAAAAATACAGTACATACAATTCAGACCATGAAATCAACTAGAGAAAAATTTACTGTAGCAAAAGCAGATTCAAGCGCAATTTTCGTTTTTCCTAGAGGCTATATGCTATTTGTTTCCATCAGTATAGAAAGGATGATTGTTCTGAATGTCATTCCTCGAAAATTGGCTCATATAGCTGATTAGATTCACGTGAAAATAACGCGTGATTTCTGACTAACCCGAACTAAACTTGACATATATACATTGAACAAAATCGTGCTAACCTAACTCAACAAAATTACAATACTGTACAGGTGAACCTCAATAAGTTGAACTTCCCTAAGTTGAATTTTTTTTCAAGTTCCTGTTTGAATTCCCTTAGAATCAATACATTAAAAACCTCACTAACTCAAAGTCTTTTTCTCTAAAACCTCCGTAAGTCAAATTTTCTGAGGCCTTCTGGTTATTATTTCCTTGAAATATGAAAGAGAAAATGATAAAAATAAATAATTTGATGCATCTTGAAAGGGAGTGAAAGAGAAATACTGTATAGAAAATGAACCCCTGCCTACAAGTTCAGAAAGGTGTAAACTCATTAAGGAGCAAGTTTATGCCCAGAATATCATCATTTATCATTTCTCACACTTTTTTCACATCTCCTCACAACTGCAGTATTAGTTTCCTCAACTGATGGAAACCTTCAAAAATTATATCATCCCCAAGTCAAAACCTCCTTAAGTCACATTTTTTTTCCTGCTGGTCCCTATAAATTCGACCTACAGAGGTTCAACTGTATATTCTACAAACCAAAAAGATGACCACGTACTTCTGATATTCACGGAATGCACCAAAATGACGGTACTAGCGTAACATATGAAATCGGTTTTATAAATGGATCTTATTTTATATCATATATTGAGGCAACTTAAGCATTACATAACACAACAGACGCCCAGCTATACAGTATATACTGAACGAATGAGCCTCATACACGGCTTAATTTGTATCAGAGCTTATCTCCCAGGTCACAATAATAAGTTCCTTGTCATTTCTGTACAAGATCAACGTGAGATATTCTACTGGAATTTGAAAATTAGAGGCAGTATACATATTTATGCTTCGAGGCAAGTAAATTTACACTGAAGGATCTCAAAAATAGTAAGGTACACTCACCCGGCTAAAACGTGCCGAAAGTCATCTGTGTGCCCCCAGGGCATGGCTGCGACACCAAAAAGCTCAGGCTTGGTTAGGTCGACATTGGACCAAATACCTCCATTCTTCACAAGTTCAAAAAATCTTCGGCATACCGGGACAACATTTTCCATTGTTTCGAAAGGGGTCATATACTCGAAAATGTTTTTAAGAACGAGCCAAGGACATGAAAGCAGAGGCGAAGTCTGCTGGTCATTCGAACCACGTCCATCCTCAGGAAGCAGCAACATGAATCGGGCGTACGCTAGAATAATTGATAATGGCTCGAGTTGTATAATAGCCATCCAAATTGGTTAGGAAAATATTTCGGAGGAAAATGTTTTTCAGTCCCGCATAGAATTCCGTGAAGATTGTATGAAATATATTGACTGGCTTTAAATTATACCGTCACATGATGAATTGTGTGAGATATTCATATCACGGTCTCTTGCGGTTGGCGTGAAGTTCTTCATTTTTCGTACACGAGCATCTAAAGAATGAAGCAGCATTCAACCTTTCTCCAAAAAACATCACCTATGCTTTTTCTTGATAAAAAAAGAAAAACCACTTCTGCTTGTTCTGTGCATTGAGGATTTGAGATACCACATTATTACTCAATGCTGCATTTTGGAGGGGACAAAAAATTGTGCATTAGAGAATCTTGTCGCACATTCTTTGGAGAAAGTAACTTGAACCAATTTTTATTGTTTAAAACAATTCATCTGAGATCCTGTAAACATTAGAAATTTTCAATCAAATTTTCCCAATGAAAAAAAAAAACTTAGAATAATAAGAGCTAGAGAGAAAGGTCATGTAATCGTGCAAAATTTTTTCTCTTTTATCCAATACGAGAGTAAAAATAATTTCACATCCGAAAATGTCTGGCCATTGGGAACGAAGTGAAAGGCAATAAAAATGAATGAACTGACCCCATCATTTCTTCGAAAACTTTGAAAATCAATAAATGAATTCACGTTTTCAATTCATTTGACAGCGTTGTATACGAAATATTTCCGTAAATTCCTAAAAATATTAGCACGGACCCAGACCATGAATACATAAAAGAACGAATTATTTTCTATTCATTGGTACGGATGCATCCTGTGTATATAGTGTATACAAGATATGCAGTCCTACCAAAAGTAGGATTCTGCTCGATAGTCACACTTGCAAAGCAGACTGTAGATATTACGCAGAGCCCTAATAATACTGAATAGTTTCAAACAAACTCACGAAGTCGACGATAGAAGATCTCAATGATGTCTCCATGATTCAGTGCACGAGTGTCTTTGCGCTCAACACACCACCACTCTTGATTAATGCGCAATTTCATGTTCAAATCGAGCAATTGCTTTTTCGATACGTCCAAAATGAAGTCTCCCCAAGGAACAGCTTCTATCACAAATATGCCCTTCAAATGATCTTTCTTCGGACATGGCTCTCCGAGTTTTGTCCCACGTGCCACTCGATGAACGTCTATTTTAGAAAAAGCCTCAGTGAAACTCTGACCAGTATAATAAAAAAAAAGAAAGAAAAAAAAATCAAGTCCTGTATAAAATATACTCACGCAGGGGAACACGCTTAAACTTCAACTCGTGGAATTTCCCCACGTTATCGTTTGCTTCGGACAAGTCGATGTAAAAAACGGCTGCTATGCTCTCCCAAGGATTTAGGGAAGTCGATCCGATTTTACCTATTTCAACGTAAGACAGGTCCCTAAGACCATAATCGAGTCTTACTAGAAAAGCACTCATAGCGTAATGAATTACTCTAGAATAAGAGACTACGCGGCGAGATCTTCACTTTTCTCAAACCAACTCGACGTTTCGCGGAACTCAATGGTTTTCAATGCAGCACAATGACCTGAAAATACAACGTTTTACATGATTATAGATACATTGATCAGGAAACAAGATATATCTAAGTCCCCGAAATAAACGAAAAAACATCACACATGAATTACCCTGCATCCGAAAACAGGCATAGTATTTTTCCAAAATATTCAACACATGGTGCAGCTCAATGACCAAGTTTCAATGAGTGTAGCATCAGAGGTAGAGTGGAAGCAATTTTTCAGGGCTTGAAGTTTAAAAATTAATCCGATTTAAAATGAACCCATATTTTTCGAGTTTTACCGAACGATTTTCATGCATTTTTCGGCCCTCGTTCTCAACACAGCAAAGAATTTTCAAACTGCCGATTCCCCAACTTTTCTCAAGTTTCTTACTGGCATTTTACACGGCCAAATATACTTTCGGTGCATCACCTGATGTTTGCCAATTGACTTTCTAATTCTTAAATATTCATCAGAGTGACCGAACATTTTACGGGGTGGTGACCTTTCTCGCTCAAAATTATTTAGATCTTCATCCATAAATCTAGTCGATCACATTTATTAAATAGTTTCGTAAAAATGCATTACCAGCACCAATCCCAAACAAAAGGTCCCTCGTTCAGTTTTCTGAAACGGGGTCGATCAGTTGTCGACGGATGTCACCGTGACATCCGTCGACAAATGATAGTAATACATTACAGTATTTCGAATCTTGAAGAGCAGAAAAATGTCTAGGAACAAGCAATTTTCAATACATTTTAGTTTACTAATCGTCTTCCAAGTAATTAATTTTGTAACTACTGCAGGCTAGGTTTTACGAGCAAATTTGCCTCAAGTTCGATCACGGAAAAAACAAGAATTGTAAGCAGATTTTGAAGATCGACCCAGAAAGGTTTCGAGATATCCAAATGATATACGCAATCACCAATGAATAATTGAATGAATGGTGATGACTCCACAGGGTTTTAATCAAATATCTTCTTGCTTCCCTCGATCGAACTGTGCAAAGCCAAGCCACGGAACAAACCCACCTTCCGAAACACATTCTCACTACAGTATAATCAACTTTGAACTAAGCTTTTCAAAAATCCATTAAAAATGCTTTAATGTGATCGTCGAATCCTGAAATATCGCCGAATTCGTGAACTGCATCGAAGGAGTCTCCAAATTCATCGTCGGAATCCCTTAATTCATCGTCGGATCCTTCAACGTCATCGTGACGATCAGGGAAGATGGCAGGGACCAAGGCAAACACTGAAGACTTATCAACATGAGTAACGTACTTCAACCAGTTCGAGAAAAACTTTGTTATGGAAGAGGACAAGAAGTTTGTCTCTTTCTGCAACCGGAAGTTGTATGTAAAAGTGGTGAACGATTCGTCGAAGAAAAAAGTACAGGTAGCTTGTTCCACAGAAAGATCTTGATGACCACTTGATGACCCCAAATATTTTTCCAGAGCGTCTTCATAAGGACCCATGGGTTGTTTGTAAGCATCCATCTTGAACACAAAAACCACATTCTTCAGGAGCTTGAAAGTCCCTACAGCTCCGAGAATTTCTCCGAAGTCCTGCAAATCAAACAAATTTGCGGGAGAGAGACAGAGAGAAAAAAAAAGACAGAACAATTCATCAATTCATCGCATTCAGCGCTTTTAATGTAATAAACAAAAGTTAATCAGCAAATATAGAGGGTACCTCTCCATTTGACCCTAATCCATTGCTGGACTATATACAGCGGATCAAATTGCAAAGCAGTCAAACGGTGAGACAACTTCAAATGGCATATTTTCTACATGGCATTTGATGTTTAATGTCTCTTTGCAGGTCAAATTGCACACCATAGGTCAAATTGTGAGTTGACCTCCCAGAAAATTCAACCATTAAATTGAGGGATGGTCAAATTTCAAGGTACCAGCACCTTTAAAGTATTTGAAAGGCCTTAGTGATTTCATGCTAAAACAGAATCTGACATGATATACAATTTTAAAAATTCTAACCAATAATTTTTGTCATTCCAACATTCTGGAGCTGATGCACGCCTACAGGTGGTACCTTACAATTTGACCATCCCGCAATTTGACAGTCAAATTTGCTGAGAGGTTGACTTGCAATTCAACCTGCTTTGGCCACTTTTTTGTATTTTTGTAGTGATCTTCTTGAAATTCATGAAGTGTCTTACAATTAAACTGCTTTGCAATTCAATACTAGTTTGGCAACAGATTAGGGTTGAATCAAGAGGTACCACCCGTACTTGGATTATTCAACTCAGACTTGATAATTGACATCCATTGACAACTTGCCTCTAGATTTGGGATTTCAATCCATAAGTCCTCCAGTGAATTTATTTGACCCTCGCCGAAAAAATGCAAAGCGGAAACCAAGCAGCTGACATTGGCTCCCGAAAATGCAGCAAACTCCAATCGTTGAGACAATTTACTGAGGGCATCACAAGGAAGATCCTCTGGCACATGTAGAACCAGTCCTCTGAGCTTAGAACACCCACGAAGTTCATCAACAACAGTTTCCAGGGATCTGCTGGAAACCCCCTCGTGTTGGAAGAACAGCCCCACACACTCCAGGTTGATCATTTTTGAGTAGGGAATGCATGTTTCCCACAAATCGACAGCGACAAACGTCAGACGTTCAAGCCATTCCTTGGGGCTTTCATCAAAGGCATGAAGTAGCTTTGCATCAGGCGATGATTTTAGTTGAGCACAGTTGATCCACAGTTTTTGCAGGCTTGGCATTTTGAGTAAATGCTGGACCAACCCCTCCGGTTTTGCACATCGAAACCACAGGGACTTCAACTGTACAGTGTTTCAACAGAAAAGTACGAAATTAATCTCTCTCTCAATAATCAGGTTCTCAATTTATCGGAATGATGCATCAAAGATTATTGAACGAGGACCGGATCACTAGATAAACAGTGAAAATCTTGATTCGTTCTGTATTACATCGAAGAAACGGGTCAGGCATAAGAACATTTTCAGTCCTAATTGTGTAGCACAGAGATGAGTTAAAAATAAATTTTCTACAGGAGTTTTTTCTTCCTTTTGAGGTCAATGATGAGGTATTAATTTTACCGCTGGAAACAGAGCATTCTTTCCAGATAAAACCGGCATCTTCTGGAAGAGGTCTTCGTGGAAGCTGAGGGACTCCAGGCTGGTGAAAGTTCGGAAATCCTGAGCCCGAAACCAAGCTTTTTCATCCATTTCAACCGGAAGGCGTTCGACATGAAGACTTCGCAGCAAACCAGAACCAAGGAAACGAAGAAACTTCTTGCTGCTAAGGAACCTCATTCCTCTGTCATACAAGCCTTCCTCGAGGTAAATCAAATGCAAGTTTTCCAACCTGAAACAGTATATATAGATCCCTTATTCAATTATACTCAAACCGAAACACACACGTAAAATACCAGCCTGGGAAAAATTAGCCTCAAATTCACAGAATAATCTGGGTCCAAAGAGTAACACGGCAGAGTGACTTCTTGGCAATTGGGCAACAAGAGGCTTTTGTCCTTCGCTTCACAAAGGAAGGGTTCAGGAAACATCCAGTCAAGAATCGTCAGGGACTCCAACTTGATGAAAGCTTCATTTTTCAGGAATTCAATCACAGATTGATTGCATATATCCCATGAAATAATTTCGAGCGCCCTCAAGTTCTTCCAGTCAGCAACTTTCATCAACGAACTGGTATTTTCAAGTGGCAAAAATAGTCGCAGCATCTCTTGATTCTCGAATTCCACTGCAAGCTTCTTAGCATGCCTGAGGAATAACTCATCAGTTACAGTATTGCTGATTCAATACAAATTGCCAATATTTCAGACTTGGATTTTTTTCCGATACTCCTAGTTCACAAATTATCCAGAGAAATATAAATTTGAAAAAGCAGATGCATGGGGACATCTCTGTAATTTTTCAACCTCTCAAACCCCTTTAAAATTTGCTACTGTATTAACTCGGACCAATGCCAGGCAATGACCCTATATTTCATCACTTGCAAGAAGTTTAGCACACTATCTGCCACCACTGATTGTTACATGATATTAAATACAATTTTGTCCGCATTAGAGCGAGTGTTTAATATACGGCCTCTTATTTTAGTTGTTTGTTGAAAGTTACATCTCAGACTGGATGCAATTATTGATCTTTTTTCAATCCAGATATCCAGGACACAGATTTTTAGAGCATCAAACAAGCTTTCCCGTGGTAGCTTTAGAATTGTTTCATCTTGATTTTTCACAAAGCTATTGCGATTTTAAACTGATATATGCTGAGGCCTTTGAACACAGAAAGCTGGTTACAGTATTTGTGTTTTATCTTTGATCTGATTTCTATTTGTTTTGTGATATTTGCTATGGTAAAATTTTGTTGTTGGCTTTTGGGATCAAGTAGGTCTCTCAGAGGATGCCAATAAATCATGTTCTCTTTCATTTTCTTCTCAATAGGATTAAAGTATTTACATTGCTAACATTTCTAAAGAGAACTTTTTGCGTATATTACAGGGTATGGGCCAAAAGAAGCAAACCAATTTCTGACTTCCAATAGCTTGGTAGCAAATTGAGCTGTGGCAATGCAAAAGGCACCAAATGAAAGCTTGTTCAATTCTCTTTCAAATGGTATGCAGTTTTATGGTCCCAAGTGCCCCAGAATGGCCATTTGGATGAATAAAGTAAATGCAGGATGAAATCATTTAAATAGAAAACTTCACACTGTCTTGGAGAGCCTGCACATGTTCCCAAAATTCAGAAGGCAGGGGTGAGAAGGGGGAAGGAAATGAAGGAAATTGGCAAGATAGGATGCTGCAGGACTCCCATCCTACACATGTGCTGCTGGGTGCTGTCCTTGCTGCTCCCAGCAATGACCAACTGCATGCACATTTTTCTTTGGATGACCAGATTGCTCAAAATCAGTTTAATTCAAAATCATTGTCACTTGAAAGAAGTTTCAGCAATCCAGTCATCCAGAAGAAAAATACACATGCAGCAGTGGGTCACTGCTGGGAGCTGCAAGGCCAGCACCCAGCAGCACACGTGCACAA